TTATGAGGCTGGACAGGTGGCTGGACGGGCTGTCAATCTGTTACAGAAGGGAATAACTTGCTTATAAATGGGAAAAGAGTGGAGGGTAGGATATAGATTAATTCTGGAAATTAGGTGGGAGGTCCCCATCCCTCGAACTGCTGGGATTTATCATGTTGCAAATTGCATTTGTTCTGTTCTTTCATTCAGTAGCTATTAATACAATTGTCATTCAAATCTCTTTGCCTATTCCGTGTGTGTGGGTTGTTGGTTGCTGTGAGCTTTGTGTTACAGGGGGTTTCCAACAGAGTCTGAGACCGAATACAATCAAATTTCTATTAACACTCTCCCAAATGTTTTTGGAAAATCTATAACATAGAGATACAACACAGTACAATCATACCATCTACAACTAGAGCATCTGGTATTCATTGGAAAAATAAAATATTTTATCATAACAATCACGTGAGGTGATGCTAGATATTTGATATAAAGCCATGATTAGCATAATTTATAAGGGTTGATGAGAACACAAGGATTACCTGATACCATATGCAGGTAGAAATCACTGGTATAAAAACTATAAAAGCCTGCCAAGCGACCTGAGACATCACAATAATGATTGCTAGAAGCTGGATAATTCCGAAGGCAAAACCCCCGATTTGCATGGGAACGTTCATATCCACAGCACTTTGGTCAGTAGAAGCCTATAAGAAAAAATGCAGATTAAATGAGCAACTATTAATTACTTTGTATTAGTAGCTAAGATAGGCCAATATTGAGTGACTAAACCAATGAATTGTATAGTAACATAAATACACTTACTCTATTTAGAATTCGTCCACTTGGGGTTGCATCGAAGAAGGACATGGGGGCACGGAAAATGAACATATGCATTTTGTTAAACAGCAGACTGGCTGTTTTGTACCCAGTGGTTACAAGAAGTATGTTTCTGGAAAGCAAGCAAAAGGAACTTCCAATAGCCAAAATTACATACACAATTATTAGTGTAGAGCCCGCAACAGGAGGTTTCATTTCCTCTGACACCGGACTTGCCCAAGCAATCCAATAATTGCTGCCAATTTGAAAGGTCTGAAAGACAACCTGTGAAAGCAATATAAAGGGCACAAGAGCTCCTCCATATACAGTAGTGATATATTTCCAGTAAACTGAAAACCCAACTTTTCCTTTCTCTCTCTCTTCTTCCTGAACAAGCTGCCCTTTCGACTCAGCAACTTCATCTGATTTATCATTCTGAACATCTTTGTTTTCTTCTTTCATGACATCCCTGCTAGTGCTACTAGGGCCACCACCTTCTTCACTATTTTTTTCGGAAACTAGTCCTCCCTCCATGGAGTCAATTGTTGATAAAGCTTGCTTATGAGCACCCACAAGTTCCATAAAGTCGGTTCCTGAATTTAGAATGTCACTGTACTTTCCAGCCTGTGTAATCTTTCCATCTTTCATGACCTAATAAGGTTGAGTTCAAGGGTTAAGAAAGTGAGCAATGCACTTCAATGAGAGAAGAAATGCAAGTTATTTTTCTTACCAGGATTAGATCAGCTGCTGGTAAGAACTCCACTTGATGAGTTACATATATCACTGTTTTTGAACACAGAAGGGTCAGCAAAACTTCCTGTTACACAAAGAAAAGTACCAATTTAGTTTAGTGCGATGGCGATTCCAATAAGCCAATTTCGTAAGTACTGGCCATATTTTCATAAGTTCAGTTGCAAAAGTTAAAACTTCCACGAACTATAATGGCATTAGGATATGATTTTACCTTAAAGAGGTGAGATCCTGTATGAGCATCAACAGCACTAAAAGGATCATCAAACAGATAGATATCGGCATCTTGGTAGAGAGCACGTGCAATCTGTATTCTTTGCTTCTGTCCTCCACTCAAATTGATCCCCTCCTCCAATAACTGTCTGATCACCAAAAGAGAGGATTTCCAAGTCTTTTCAAGGAACACGCATCAAGAACTCTGCATAACTTACTCTGTCCATCCCTTACCAAATAAAATGTTTTCTTGAATCGTGCCATTGTATCCATGGCGATAGCAACATAGGCCTTTGCACCACACAACCTAAGGATACCGAAACTTGGGTATTTCTCCTAAAACACAAGAAAGTAAGCTTGACTTGCCTGAGCCAATGTTCCACAAACTGCGACTCATGCCATGAAACACCTTCAAATTTATATTTTAGTGTTTGATTAGGGGACGTAAGATCCCAAGAAAAGTTCCATCAATTATCTCCAATGCTGTGTCAGAACAACCTCTTTGCTGCCTCTCAACAACATCAGACTGCAAGTCATCAAGACGAAGGAATGATGCAATTCATCAAGGGAAACTTGGTCTGAATTATCATTGAAATGTGTCAGGTAAAGCATACATTGGGACTTGAAGAATCCTGAAAGTTGCAATTGCAGATAAAAATTCCCAGACGACAGTGGGATCCTAATATCATACAAGCACCGAAAGTCGTTACAGACAGAAAACTGGAGGCATTCCAGAAGATGAAATTGGCCATTGCTGTACAGAAAAGGTTTTTCAACCATCCAGCTCGCTCTTCCTGAGCTCGATAATCTTCGACAAAAATTTCATTTCCCACCCTGGAGCTTGAGAATTCTCATTCCTCAAAATTCAGAAGTCGCTTTCAATCTTTTATCTTTTGATTCCATCAATTTCTTGAAACTTCTCTTGCATTCTCCAAAACGGAAAATTTACCACATAACAATTATCGCTGCAAAGACTGTAGCAAACGATGCTAGCCCAAGATTTTAACAAGATCAGAAAGGCCAAACCAACTTGCACGATCGCCAGCCATGGATCATGTATGTACCAGATGAAGTCACCAAGTCTTCTCAGCATCAACAGTCATGAAATTAATGATTTCCCCACTGGTGTGGCCCTGCAAGCTTGACACGAAAGCGTCAAACCCTTATTGTAGACCATGCAATAATGACTGCTCGGAACCTAACTCGACCGCAGCCGTCCAACTAAAGACCAGTGCCTCCGGGAGAGGCACTCCACAAGCTTTGCAACAAAAAAAGCAGAAACCAAAATATATCCCTCATGTTCAAAATCCTGCTTCCCATTGAGGTATTGGACGAAAGTGTCAATAAGGAATGGACCAACATATGTGGCTGACGTGTATGCAAGAGCTAGAAAAGCTGTCGAAAGCATGTCTTTCCAAAAAAAGAAAAACAGTGCCTTCACAAGCGCTAGAGAGGTCACTCCGCTTCCCGTACCACACTCTGCCTCAAGCTTATTTCTGAAAGTCGGAAAGGCCCCAACTACACTATCTCTGCTATCTAATTGAGGGACATCCTCAAGGTCTAAAGTTTTCTTATTGCCGTCAGCAATTAGAGTACCCATCCAAGAGAAGGTAAGAATACTAATTAGACTAGCATTTGAGTAAGGGGTCACTTTATCAGAACCTTTGGGCTTAATTGGTGACACTACATCTTCACTAGCAGTATTACCATCCAAAAGGGGTTCTTGAAGAAGGATGGCATCTTCACCCTCATGTTTCCCCAAAAACCCCACATAACAGAAAAACAGCCCAGTGATAACAGAGACAACATCAGACACTACATATTGAATTGGTACAGAAACTTGATTGTTGTAAAGAACAATGTGAATGACAAGACAATAACAAGAAACAGACATGTAAAAACCCCACCAGACCCTCAACAGATAAGGGAACCTTTTTTTTCCTGAATTGAAGAACTGTGTATGCAAATACACAGAAATTGCACCCCAACCAAGTGTCCTAAGAACTAAATCAAAAAGGGTCACCAGTTTATCATCAGACCAATCATTTCTATACCAGTAGAAGTAACTTAACAAACACAACACAAAATTAAACGCTGAAACACCTAAACAACAAAACAAAGTTTTCTTATACCACGAAACCCTTCTGTTCTTAACCCTCTCCTTTGACTCTTCAGTACTGTCATGACCAACGCGCACTTTCAGTTTCCCGCAAACCAAAGACACAAATAACACAAGTAACAAAACTAAGTGCAATGAAGCAGGGAACCCATGTATGAAAATGGGTTTAAGAAGAAAACCAGTGCCTGCATCCATTAGAGAAGATGAGTGCATGAAGAAAGTTAACAAAACATGGTTTATTGAATAAAAAAGCTTCATTTTTTTCTGGGTTGGGAAACAAATTCATGTATGTTGAGATAACTTTGAACAAGAAGAGTTAGTATCCCTCCATATAATCTTATTTTTTCCTATTCTTTTCCGATTTTCCCTATAAAAAATAAACTTTAATAATTGAATCCTCGATTGTTGTAATTTCCAAACATCTCTTTCTAAAAGACAATTTACTTTATTAATTTTTTCAGTAAAATAATTGAGGCTTTAGCATTAACATGTACAGAATATCTAAGCATCTCCGAAAATTAGACAAGCACGAGCTTTGGAAAAAATGACACCATGCCTGCATTTGTCCAGAGGGAAAAGTACTTCTCCCACAAGTTGACTTAGAAGACTTTGACCTGGCCCAAGTTTCGCTCGCACTCTGGTCTGTTGACTTAAATATGGTCACAAGATCCCTAACTTTCCCAAATCAAACGCGAGATTTCTCAAATCAATTGGTGATGGGTAATACAGCATTGGCTCTATCAACAGTTCTAGAGGCCTTGTGGGCCAGCCGCCTCATCTGCCGTGGTGAGGCCTCCTCTGTCGACAGTAACACCACCTAGAAAGTCAATGCTACCACCATGGCGTGACCTCCACGGTTGTTGACAAGTGCCTTTTTTCTGGATATTTTGGTTTGAGTGGTTTATGATTGCGCATTGTTATCTATTTGACTGATATTGTTTTGTAGATTGATTTTAGTTACTTCAATTGATGTTAGATAACTGAGTACCTGGAAAACTTGTAGAGGCCCAACAGCAGTGACAAAGAACTACACCATGTTGTTAAATAGAAAACATCGGCGCCACAATTGGATTTGATTAGATTCATTTTCTTTATTTAGCATTTGATGTGCAACTCAGTGCAAGTATATTACAATATCAAAGGAAGTTTATTAGTGAGCACAATCACTAATATTAGAGTCCTAAATTACATTTATAACCGCTAATTAACTCGCTCACCTGGATACTACCATTATTTACTGTAGAACATTGTTAACATACAACAGTAACTGGAGGACTTCAGTTTCCAGATAAATGCGTATCAGAACTAGAATTTGACCTGAGACTGTATTCTGCAACAAGTTGTGCAAATGATGATGACTTGTTCTGCAACAACTTCGTTGGCGAATCATATTCCTCGATGAGCCCTACACCAGGACATGGAAAAGTCAATAATCTTTTGTGATAATGGAATTTATGTCATGAACATCAAACTCAACATAACCATAGTAACCTTGATTTAGAAGTAGAACCATATCACTATTAAGAACAGAAGTTATCCGGTGAGCGATTGTTATGACTGTGCAGTCAGAAAAGTGTTGTCGGAGAGTTTGCTGAATCAGATTATCAGTAGCAGTATCAACAGATGCAGTAGCTTCATCAAGCACCAAGACCTTACTTTTCTTCAATAGAACGCGCCCAAGACACACCAACTGCCTCTGACCCATACTCCAGTTCTCTCCATTCTCAGTAACTGCAAAACCCATATAATACAATCAGAATCCTGTGCCTTGAGTAAGAATAATTTTACTACAATTCATACCATAGAAAGAAGAAGAGACATGCCTCTCGAATCTAGTTTTCCTTCTTTCTTTTTAACTTCTTCTGCAAGTTGGCACTTATCCAAAGCCTAAAACCATTTAAATACATATTAGCTAGCCATATTTAATTACCAAGTATAAACTTCATTCTACTATCAAATTAAAATCAAACCACCTCCCAAATTTGCTCATCTGTGTATTCTTCAAGAGGATCCAAATTGCTTCGTACAGTCCCTTCAAACATGGTCGGATCCTGTGGAATGATGCTTAGCCTTGACCGCAAATCATGAAGTCCAATTGATAAGATATTGATGCCATCTATCATAATCTGGCCAGTTGCAGGTTCGACAATCCGAAACAGTGTTTGAATGAGAGTTGATTTACCACTGCCAGTCCTCCCTACTATGCCAGTTTTCATCCCTCCCGAAAAAGTGCATGTTAAACCTCGCAACACAAGTGGCAAGTGTGGAGCGTAGCGAACCTATGTCATAATCATAATCAAAATGATCAGGTGTACGTGAGAAAAGAATAGGAGCATGGTAGTATAAAGCAAGTAAAATTACCTGCAGATCCTGTATGCTAAATTCTCCATGGGATGGCCAAGAAGGGTCAGGTCGGCTTCCTTCTATTACAAGAGGTGGCTCACTAGGAATACTACAGTACTGAAGCATTCTTTCGACTGATATAATCTTGTTCTCCAGACGGCAAAGGTTCCATATTGCAGAAGCTTGTAACATATTAAGATTGAGCCCATATGTCACGGCTAGGCCCGCAATTGCTATATAAGAGAAAAAGTTTGTTTAATGCTCTATACTATTGTAGCAAGAAGAATAGCCAATGATATGATAGATGAACCAACACCTGCATTAAGGACGCCGTTCGGCACAGAAATTAGGAGAACCAAAGAGAAGGCAAATGTTATCGAAGACAGCATATCCAGGTGGAAGCACAGCCATTCCATTGCACCAGCAACATGAAAATTGGGTCGAGAATATTCATCCATCAATTTCATATTTGTGTTTTGAAACCTTGATTGTTGATCAAAACTCCTAATGGTTGTTGACCCTGAAATTGTTTCTGCAAAATGTTGTATCACTGGAGCTTTGCATACGCCAACCAACCGCGAAAGTTCTCTAGCTGAGGAAATGTAATATTGCTGCACAATGAAAAATTGTGAGAAATTATTTTTCAAAAAATGGGTAAACTGCAAGATAGTATACTAATGTCACAATGAGTGTGAGACTGAACACAATCATATTTCTATTAACAATTCCTGCAAATGCTTTTGGAAGATCTATTACTTAGAGATATAACACAGTACAATCATATCATCTAAAGCATCTAATATCCATTGGGAAAAAAATATACAATAAGAATAATGACACCGAAAACATGTGGTGATACTAAATATTTGATATAAAGCGATGATTAGGATAATTTATGAGAATTGGAGAGAACAAAAAGATTACCTGATACCATATGCAGATGGAAAGCACTGGAATAAAAACTAAAAAAATTTGCCAAGCAACCTGAGACATCACACTAATGATTGCTAGAAGCTGGATCATATTGAAGGCAAAACCCCCAATTTGCATGGGAATGGTCAAATCCACAGCACTTTGGTCGGTAGAAGCCTATAAGAGCAAAAACAGAAAAAATGAGCAAATATTCATTACTTGGAATAATTTTGACAAAAACAAAAATTAAGAGAACAAAAAAAGGTTAAGGTAAATCCTATCTTTAGCTAACATATTCATAATAGAAATCCAAATACAGTAGTATTGAATTGCTTTAGCCAATGAATTATATGGAACATAAATTTCACTTACCCTGGTCAGAATTCGTCCACTAGGTGTTGCATCAAAAAAGGACATGGGGGCCCGGAAAATGCACATATGCATTTTATTGAAGAGCAGAGTGGCTGTTTTGTACCCAGTCGTTACAACAAGTATGTTTCTGGCAAGCAAGCAAAAGGAACCTCCAATAGCCAAAATTACAAACACAAGTATTAGAGTAGAGCTCCCAACTGGAGGTTTTACATCCTCAGACACTGGTGATGCCCAAGCTATCCAATAATTGCTGCCAATTTGAAGGGTCTGAAAAAGAATCTGTGCGAGCAATATAAAGGGCACAAGAGCTCCTGCATATATAGCTGTGATATATTTCCAGTACACTGAAAACCCAACTTTACCTTTCTCTCTTTCTTCTTCCTGAACAAGCTGCCTTTTCGACTCTGCAACTTCATCTGATTTATCATTCTGAACATCTTTGTTTTCTTCTTTCTTGACAACCTCAGTAGTTCTATTTGGGCCACTGCTGTCCTCGATAATTTTTTCGGAAACTAGTCCCTCCTCCATTGAACCAATTGCTAATAAAGCTTGCTTATGTGCACCCACGAGTTCCATAAAGTCGGTTTCTGAATTTAGAATGTCACGGTATTTTCCAGCTTGCACAATCTTTCCATCTTTCATTACCTAATAAGGTATAAGTGAAGTTAGTAGGTTAAGAAAGTGAGCAATGTAGTTCACTAAGAGAAGAAATGCAAGGCATTTTGCTACCAAGATCTGATCCGCTGCTGGTAAGAACTCCATTTGATGAGTTACATATATCACCGTTTTGGAACACAGAAGGCCCATCAAAACTTCCTGTTACACAAAGAGAGGGACAAGTTTAGTTTAGTGCAATAGTTTGTATGGATATTTAATAATCATAATAAACTCAAATGAATCAGAGCCATAAGTAGTGGCCATATTTTAAGTTAATTGGGGAAGTTAAAACTTGTATTAAATATAATGACATTAGGAAATGATTTTACCATAAAGAGGTGAGATCCTGTATGAGCGTCAACAGCACTAAAAGGATCATCAAACAGATAGACATCGGCATCTTGGTAGAGAGCGCGTGCAATCTGTATTCTTTGCTTCTGTCCTCCACTCAAGTTGATTCCTCTCTCTCCAATAACTGTCTGATCACCAAAAGAGAGGATTTCCAGGTCCTTTTTCAGGCAACATGCCTCAAGAACTCTGTCATAACTTTCTCTGTCCATCTCTTTACCAAACAAAATGTTCTCTTGAATTGTGCCACTTTGTATCCATGGTGATTGAGCAACATAAGCCTTTGTACCACACAACTTAAGGATACCGGAAATCTTGGGTATTTCCCCTAAGATACAAGAAATTAAGCTTGATTTACCTGAGCCTACTGTTCCACAAACTGCGACCTTCATACCATGAGACACCTTCAAATTTATATCTCTCAGTGTTTGATTAGGGGATGAAAGATCCCAAGAAAAGTTCCCATCAATTATCTCCAATGATGTATCAGAATTACCTCTTGGCAGCCTCTCAACAACATCAGACTGCAAGTCATCCATACGGATGAAAGATGAAATTCTATCTAGGGAAACTTTAGTCTGAATTATCATTGAAATTGTGTCAGGTAGAGCATATATTGGTACTTGAAGAATCCTGAAAGTTGCAATAGCAGATAAAATCTTCCCAGATGAAAGTGGGATACCTAAAATCATACAAGCACCAAATGTGACTACAGACAGAAAACTGGGGGCAGACCAGAAGATAAAACTGGCCATAGCTGTACAATAAAGATGTTTTTTCAACCATCCAACCTCACTCTTCCTTAGCTCAGTAATCTTAGACAAAAACTTCATTTCCCATCCCTGAAGCTTGAGAATTCTCATGTTCCTCAAAATTTCAGAAGTTGCTTTCATTCTTTTATCTTTTGATTCCATCAACTTGTCTTGAAACTTCTCTTGCATTCTCCAAAATGGAAAATTTACCACCATAACAACTATAGTTGCAAAGACTGTAGCAACCGATGCTAGCCCAAGATTTTTATACAAGATCAGAAAGGCCAAACCAACTTGCACGATCACCAGCCATGGATCATGTATGTACCACATGAAGTCACCAAGTCTCTCAGCATCAACAGTCATGAAATTAATGATTTCCCCACTGGTGTGGTCCTGCATCGCTTGAGATGAAAGTGTCAAACTCTTATTGTATACCATTGCAATAATGACCGCTCGGACCCTAACTCCGACCTGCTGCAACCGAAAGATCCATTGCCTCTGGGCGAGACACTCCACAAGCTTTGCAACAAAGAAAGCAGAAACCAAAACATACCCCTCATTTTTATATTCCTGCTTCCCATTCAGGTATTGGACAAAAGTGTCAATGAGGAATGGGCCAACATATGAGGATGACGTGTTTACAAGAGCTAAGAAAGCTGTCAAAAGAATGTCTTTCCATGCTAAGAAGAACAGTGCCTTCACTAGTTTGAGTCTAGTCATTCCACTTCCTGTACCACACTCTGCCTCGAGCTTATTTCTGAAAATTGGAAAGGCCCCAACTACACTATCACTGCTATCTAATTGAGGGATATCCTCAAGGTCTAAAGTTTTCTTATTGCCATCGGCAATTAGAGAACCGATCCAAGAGAAAGTAAGGATACTAATAAAACTAGCTTTTGAGAAAGGGGTTACATTATCAGATCCTTTGGTCTTAATTGGTGACACTACATCTTCACTTGCACTGTTTCCATCCAAAAGGGGCTCTTGAAGAAGAATTGTTTCTTCACCCTCATGTTTCCTCAAAAACCCCACATAGCAGAAAAACAGTCCAGTTATAACAGAGACAACATCAGACACTACATATTGAATTGGTACAGTAACTCGTTTGTTGTAAAGAACAATGTCAATAACAAGACAATAACAAGAAATAGACATGTAAGAACCCCACCAGACCCTCAATAGAAAAGGGAACTTTGGTTCACCAGAATTGAAGAACTGGGTATGCAAATAAACAGAAATTGCACCCCAACCAAGTGTTCTAAGCCCTAAATCAAAAAGGGCCACCAGTTTATCATCAGACCACCCATTTCTATACCAATAGAAGTAACTCAACAAACAGAGCACAAGATTAAACACTGAAACACCTAAACAACAAAACAAAGTCTGCTTATACCACAAAACTCTCTTACTCTTGTTAAACCGGTCCTTTGACCCTTCATTGCTTTGATCAACACTTACTTTCAGATTCTTGCAAACCCAAGAGATAATTAACAAGAGTAACAAAACTAAGTGTAATGAAGCAGAAAACCCATGCAAGAAAATGGGTTTGAGAAGAAAACCAGTACCTGCATCCATTAGTGAAGATGACTGAGTGAAGAAAGGGAAGGAAACATGCTGTATTTGGTAATGAGGCTCCATCCTTTTTGGGTCACAATTGAATTTTTTGTATGTTGGGATGAGTTAGAACAAAAAGATTTAATATGCCCTTACAGAATCATCTTTTTTTCATATGTTTTTGAATAAGATAAAGTAAACAAAAATAATTTAATCCTTGATTCTTGTGGACGCTTTTTTCTCAAAGACAATGACTTCATTGACTATCGCTGACTCATAACTCTAAAGTATGACTTTTTCGATAAAATATGGAGCTTTTGGATTAACTTGTAATCATGCCAACGGAAAGATTAGTAATGTCACAAAATATCTTGGCATCATAGAAACTAGAAAGTTTGTCAAGCACGAGTTTTGGAGAAAATGATACCATGCATTCATTTGTACAGGGGGGAAAATACCATACACTCACAAGCTATCCTTCGATTCGAAGACTTTGACCTCGTACAAGTTGACTTGAACTCTGAGCTAACTCAAATATAGTTACAAAATCCCCAAGTCCCTAACTTTCTCAAATCAATTGTTGAGGGATAATGGTATCTGTAGATTCCCTTGGGGGCCAGCCGCCTCATCGTGGCGTAGTGAGCAAGGCCATGCTGCAACCGTGATGTGACCTCCACAGTTATTGACAAATGCTTTTTTTCTTTCTTTTTTGGTATTTTCATTTGGGTGGTTTGTGATTAAGCAATTGTTATTTGGTTGGTGGGTTTTGAGCTAAATTTGTTTGGGTTGAAATTTTTGTTATTTGCATACCTATTTCGTTACTTCAGGTGAACAGAAGTATCAATTGCTATTTCTTGTTTTTCTCTTTGTTTTTTGCTTGTTCTTTGGCCAAACAAACAAATACTACATTGTTAACATACACCAGTTAACTTTTGGCCTTCAGGCTTCAGTTTCCAGCTAACTTCTCATCGGAACTGGAATTTGACCTGCAACAATTTGTGCAAGTGATGATGATTTGTTCTCTAGCAACTTTGTTGGCGAATCATATTCCTCGATGTGTCCTACAACAAGACAATGAAAGCTCAATAACATTTTATGATGATGGATTCTATGCCAAAAACAGTAAATTACCTGACCATTAACCTTCATTTAGAAGCAGCACCATATCACTATCAAGAACAAAAGTGATCCAATGTGCAATTGTTATGACTGTGCTTTCAGAGAAGTGTTGCCGAAGAGTTTGCTGAATCAGATTATCAGTAGCAGTGTCGACGGATGCAGTAGCTTCATCAAGCACCAAGATCTTACTTTTCTTGAGTAGCACACGCCCAAGACAAACCAACCGCCTCTGACCCAAACTCCAATTCTCTCCATTCTCAGTAACTGCAAAATCCAAATTACCATGTACAATAAAATTCCGTGCCTTGATTTAGTTTTTTTTTAACTGAAACTCGTAAAATAGAAAGAAAAAACATGCCACTGGAATCTAACTTCCCTTCTTTCTTTCTAACTTCATCTCCAAGTTGACGCTATCCAAAGCCTGAAACTATTTTCGAAAATGTTGGAAAATTCTATGTTTGATTACCAAGTCTGAACTTCACTCTCCAAACAAAATAAAAGCAACCCACCTCCCAGATTTGCTCATCTGTGCGGGGTGTAGTCACAACCAGTAGCGGATCCAGGAATTTCTTTTAGGGTGGGCCAAAATAAAAATTTATTATACATTACTATTTTTGTCCATTAATATTTTTTTTAGGGTGGGCCAAAATATATAAATTTACATATTAATATTAAAAAAAAAAAATTTGAGGGTGGGCAAAAAGTGGCTGGATCCGCCACTGGTCACAACTATAAAATCATATGCGCATGACAAATGAATATCAATCATGGTAGTAGAAGACACTGTTTTAAAACTCGGCCCAACTCCGGTTTAATGGGTTGGATTGGGAACAGGGGTATTTACCAGGCCGGTCACACCTCTAACATTTTTTGGTGTGTTTGTTTTAGTATTTAGAATAGTATTTTTAAAATGGTTAGGGTGTGTTTGGTTTATTATTTTGAAACTTTTTAGAATAATATTTTGAAAAAAGTTAAATTTGATGGGTATTACGATGTAGAATTTGAAAATTAACAAAAAGACCCTCTATGTTTGTTTATTTACTAAACACCCCTATAATAAAATATTGAAAATTAACAAAAACACCTCAACCCATCTATTGAATACCGACAGCTGGCCACCACCATCGAAGGGTGGCTGGAGTTGCCGTATTGGAGCACGACCGGCTAGATCTGGTCGGTTGTACGCCGATATGGCCATTGATCGCATTTGGTCATCAACGATGGCCAAAGATATAGTTGTCGTTGATGACTGGCTATAGCCAAAGATCTGGCCTTTTCTGGCCAAATCCACGGTGGATCTGGCTAGAAAAGGCTAGATTAGCGCACCACCAGCCAGATTAATCGATAGTGTACCATTATACCAGATTCCAGAAAGTTTCTAGCTGTGGTGGCCGAAATCTAGCAAATGTGGGTTACTGAGATGTTTTTGTCAATTTCTAAAAATTTTTTTAAGGGGTGTTTAGTTAAATTAACAAATTTAGGGGGTTTAAAAAAATTAAATAATATAGAATAATATTTTGAGAATAAGAGAATAAATGTGTATTTTGGATAGAATAGATAATAGAATACTGAAAAATTGTGTACCAAACGGGCCCTAAGAGTTGGGTGGGAATAACGATATAAGATTTAAAAATTAACAAAACACCCCTTAAGTTTGTTAATTTACTAAACACCCATGTAATAAAAACATTAAAAATTATAAAAATACCCCCATCCACCCACTAAATATCGGTAGCCGACCACCAACGTCGGAGGGTGGCCGAAGTCGTCTATCGGCGCATTCTAGCTAGATCCACTGCGGATTTGGCTGGAAAAGGCTAGATCTACGGCTAGATCTAGCCATTGACGGTAAGATCTGGCTGCGTTTGGTCATCAACGACAGCCAAAGGTATGGTTGATGTTGATGATCGACGACAGTTATATCTTGGCTGTCGTTGACGACTAGCTACGACCAAGATCTGGCTATCAACAGCCAGATCTTTGGCCGTAGATCTGACATTTTTCGGCCAGATCTATAGTAGATTTGGCTGAAAAATGCTATATCGGTGCACCACTGACTAGATCCAATCGGTAGTGCACCACTGGTTAGATCCAATCGGTAGTGCGCCATTGTATCAGATTTCGGCTACCTTCTGACAGTGTTGGCCGAAATCTGATAAATGTGGGTGGTGGGGGTGTTTTTGTTAATTTTTAAACTTTTTTGGGGATGTTTAATTAAATTAACAAACTTAGAAGATTTAAAAATAATTGAATAAAATATAATAGTATTTTCATGATAGAAACAAATGTGTATTTTGAAAATAGTAGGAATATGATAAGAGAAAATAAACAAATGGACTTTTAAGTTTTAACCTGGTTTGACCCGCGGTTGGACCGAAGGAACGGTAGAGAACCTCCGGTCCAACCGGTCTGTTGAAAAAAACCGGGTCAGTTCAAATGAAAATCTTCGTTCTTCTGTGTTCAAGCTTCATTCTTCACCTTCAATCTTGATTCTTCGCGCCGTTGANTTCGAAAATGTTGGAAAATTCTATGTTTGATTACCAAGTCTGAACTTCACTCTCCAAACAAAATAAAAGCAACCCACCTCCCAGATTTGCTCATCTGTATATTCTTCAAGAGAGTCCAAATTGCTTCCTATAGTGCCTTCAAACATGGTTGGATCCTGAGATATGATGCTTAGTCTTGACCATAAATGCAGTCCAACTTAGGAGATATTGATGCCATCTATCATAATCTGACCAGCTGCAGGTTCAACAATCCGGAACAACATTTGAATGAGAGTTGATTTACCACTGCCTGTTCTGCCTATTGTGCCAGTTTCATCCCTCCCAACAATGTGCATTTTACACCTCGCAGCACAAGTGCCATGCGTGGGGTGTAGTCATAACTATAAAGATCATATGCGCTTGACAAATGAGGTATCAATCATGGTAGTATAAAACACTGTTTTAAATCTCGGCCCAACTCCGGTTTAATGGGTTGGATTACCAGCCGGTCACAGCTCTAACATTTTTTGGTGTATTTGTTTTAGTATTTAGAATAGTATTTTTGAAATAGTTAGAGTGCGTTTGATTCATTATTTTAATATTTTTTAGAATAATATTTTGAAAAAAAGTAAAATTAGATGGGTATTACGATATAGGATTTGAAAATTAACAAAAAGACCCCCCTATGTTTGTTTATTTACTAAACACCCTTATAATAAAATATTAAAAATTAACAACAATACCTCCAACCCACCCATTGAATACCAACAATTGGCTGCCACAGTCGGAGGGTGGTCGGAGTTACTGTATCGGAGCACTACCGGCTGGATCTGACCGGTCGTACACCGATATAGCATTTTCTGACTAGATCCACAATGGATTTTGCTAGATCTGGCCATTAATGGCTAGATAGGACTGCCTTTGGTCATCAACAATGGCCAAAGATATGGTCGTCATTGATGACTAGCTATGGCCAAAGATCTGGCATTTTTCGGCCAAATCCACAATAGATCTGGTTGAAAAATGCTAGATTGGTGCATTACCAGCCAGATTCAGCCGTTAGTGCGTCATTATTCCAGATTCCGCCTATTCCAGCAGTGGTGGTCTGAATCTGGCAAATGTGGGTTGTTGGGGTGTTTTTATCAATTTCTAAATTTTTTTGGGGGTGTTTAGTTAAATTAACAAATTTAGAAAATTGAATAATATAGAATACTATTTTGAGAATAAGAGAATAAATGTGTATTTTGAATAGAATAGGGAATAGAATACTATAAAATTGTGTACCAAACGGGCCTTAAGAGTTGGGTGGGAATAACAAGGTAAGATTTTAAAATTAACAAAAACACCCCTTAGGTTTGTTAATTTACTAAACACACATGTAATAAAAACATCAAAAATTACAAAAACACCCCCATTCACCCATTAAATACCTGCAGCTGGCCACAACCATCGGCAGGTGGCCGAAGTCACTGATTGATGCATTCTAGCCATATTCACCACGGATTTAGCTGGAAAATGCTAGATATACAGCTAGATCTAGCCATTGACGACAAGATCTGACTACGTTTGGTCGTCAACGACTGCCAAAGGTATGGTCGGCGCTGATGGTCAATGATGGTCATATCTTGATTGTCGTTGACGATTAGCTACGGCCAAGATCTGGCTGTCAACGACCAGATTTTTGACTGTAGATCTGGCATTTTTCAGCTAGATCCACAGTAGATCTGGTCGAAAAATGCTATATCGGTATATCACCGATCAGATCTAGTCGGTAGTGCGTCATTGTATGAGATTTCAGCTACCTTTCGATGGTGGTGGCCGAAATCTGACAAATGTGGGCAGTGGGACTGTTTTTGTCAATTTTAAACTTTTTTTAGAGGTGTTTAGTTAAATTAACAAATTTAGGAGGTGTAAAAATAATTAAATAAAAATATAATAATTTTTTCATAGAATAATACTTTGGGTACTAATGAATGGGTACTAATCTGTGTACTAACTAAAGCATAGTACCCGTACTATGCGCATAATACGAGTACTATGCTTTAGTTAGTACACAGATTAGTACCCATCCGTTAGTACCCATAGCATCACTCTTTTTCATAATAGGATGACAAATGTGTATTTTGAAAATAGTAGGAATAGGATAAGAGAAAATAAACAAATGGACTTTAAACCTGGTTTGACCCGCGGTTGGACCGAAGGAACCGGTCCAACCGGTCTGTTGAAAAAACCGGGTCACTTCAAATGAAAATCTTCGTTCTTCTGTGTTCAAGCTTCATTCGTCACCTTCAATCTTGATTCTTCGCGCCGTTGACGGAAATTTTCAATCAACCAGTCCTCACTACACTCCGCTCGGTCCACCGTCCGCACTACATTCGGCTCCGCCCGTCCGATATTATTGTTAAGGTTTGTGACTTTGTGTTTCATTGATTTTTTCTGGAGCAAACATTGAAAATCTGGACTTTATTTTTTTTGGTTTTGTGTTTAAAGCCTTTTGACTAGAAGCAGTGAAGGAGAAGAAGAATAAGAAGAAGAAGATCTGAAAGCTCATATACTTAAACGTCATATCTTCTTCTGTCTGTTTTCACAAATGCCACGCCCCTCTTTTCACAAGCTTATTCTCTCATCAACCATTAGAGACAGGAAACTGGTAAACCATGTTGCTTGTTTAATCTTGTTATTTTGAGAAAAATTTGGCTAGAGAATATTAAAGAGTAATTGAATTTTGGTCTTTTCTGTGTTTTTTGTTCTTGGGTATGTTTTGTTTTGTTTGGTTGATTTCATTTTGGAGCCTAATATGTATGTCTTTGAGGTAAAGTAGAAAGGTTTTAACCAGATAAGAAATTTATCAAAGTAAAAATTAGAACTTTTATTAGTTGGGGAGATTGAGTAGAGAAAGAGGATATGAGATTCTGGAAGAATCCAGAAGTTTGTTTTTTGGGTTTTAAGAGTAATTAAATTAAGCTTGTGAAGATAGTTGGGTAAGGGTTGGTTGATTGTATAGTTTTAAGAACCTAAACACTAGAATAAACATGGAGGATATGTAGAGGGTTAATTGAACAATTTGATAACCTGCTTTTGTCAGGGATGAGTTTGGTAAGAACCAGCAGTTTGGTTGGCTGATAAAGAAAGTGGGTAAAGGAGAAGAGGGTATTTTAAAGTTTTGTTTTTCAGTTTTAAGAGGTCTATATGAGTTTGATAAGGAGTGACAAATCGGTTTGGTTAGCAGGGAAACTGCGAAATGAGGAAGAAAAAGAACTTTAAGGGTCTTTTGGATGTTGAGTTCTTAGTCACCTTGATCGTTGTCTGCACTGAGATTGTTCCGGAAAACGTGGAAAGTGAATTTAAGCTAACTGTGTAGTAATGAATCTTTAGGCTCTTTTGTTTTTTTTGTTTTTTTTGGTCCCCTTTGTATATTAGAGAAAATATATCTCAGCAAAATTTTCCCTAAAAAGCGTATTATTTATATCTGCACAAAGTATGGTCCTTAGATCTCAATTTGCTGATCCTCGTTTCTTATATATTAGTTTCAACCATGAGCTCAGCTGTTTAAATCCTATTGAGGTCCCTTACTTTGTAGAATGCTAACTTGGGTAATTCTACCAAGGTCTAAAAGCAGTCCCAACTCGGTAAACACGTAGGAATGGTCAAGAAATTTCTAGGTATTATAAGGAAAAATTGTATTTGCTTGTAATAACCTACCTGCTTCTAATCTGCGTATGGATTTCTAAAAATTAAGTAACAGGATGGACATATATGTCGTGAAAATATGTAATTGATATCTCAGAACGGTATTTTCATCACAATATATGAATCTTCTTCTACAATTTATATCATTGACATGTCATTCTCTGATTATGATACTTCGAGATAAATGCAGTCTAACTTGATTCGGGTAACTGTAGAGCATTCCAAAAAACTTTGTCAAGAAGTTCAAAGATGAGCTTTCCTTAGTTGCCACAGTTATGATTCCCAATGGAGTAATGTTAATGTTTTGCGTTTAGAATTAAAAAGAGTTGACTACACAATTTTATTTAATGACGAGCTTTTAGAAATTAATTAATTTTTAGAGTTTAATTTTTTATTATGTGACATGTTGACATCAGTATGACATCATTATGCTAATGTCAGCATGACGTCATTAGATCGGTCAACTTGGGACCCAAGCACTTGACCAGGTCCAGACCTACATCAGGTCTTAAAACATTAGTATAAACTATAAAGTGTTATGAGTCATATGTGTTGGAGTTCCATACCGACTAGGCACGCTTAAGTCTACTGATTTATAAGAGGGGGTAATCCTCCCATTCAACAAGACCTTATTGGATGAGGAGTCAGACACACCTCAAATTCTATCATGGTATCAGAGCCTAGGTTCAGTTGAGCTGAGTGTTTGACCAGTTGGTGAAGAGTTAGAGCCGACAACTACCTCCAAAAACAAGCATGACCCAACATATGGGCTTGACAGTGAGGGGGAGTGTTGAAGTCCCACACCGACTAGGCATGCTCAAGCCTACTGGTTTATAAGAGGGGGTAATCCTTCCATTCAATAAGACCTTATTGGGTGAGGAGTCAGACTCACCTCAAATTCTATCAATATGTACTTTTTCTTATTCTTACTATATGTATATAAATTCCCTCAATAATTTATATGTGATGTTACCCTAGTTAGTAAATACGCGTTTTATACGCGAATTATACGGTTAGCCGTATAATTCGCGTATATATGTATTTTGACAATGGCTGCCGAATTATTCGCGAATTATTGGAATATCCGTATAATTCGCGAATTATTCGCGAATTATTGAAAAAAAAAAAAAAAAAATGATCCAAACCAGTAACAGATCTATGACTGTTAAAACAAAAATCAATGACCCAAATCAAACTTTCCGTGTCAAAACACAGACCCCCACATTCAATAACAGATCCNAAAAAAAAAAAAAAAAAAAATCAAAGATTCCCTCAATAGTATTCATGTGATGTTACAGTAGGCTAAAATTTGTATAAATTGTATATTTTCGGTCCTTGTAAATCAAGCTTTTTGTAAGCCAATTCTCTAAGTTTTTCTTCTTACACTCTTTTCAATATATGTAATCACTCAAAAAGTCCGAGCTTTTTGAGTGGTTATATATATTGAAAAGAGTGTGGGAAGAGAAACTTAGAGAATTGACTTATAAAAAATTTGGTTTATAATGACCGAGAATACACAATTTCTAAAAATTTTAGTCTATTGTAACATCACATAAATATTATTGAGGAAATATTTGATTTTTTCTTTTTTTGATATACACACACACACATGTGTACACATGTATATATGTATGTACTCTTTGTATTTTTCTCTTTTCTTTTGGTTAATGTAATATAGAACGCTAGTTTTTTTTTTTTTTTTTTCTCAATCTTTTTTGAGTCCTCTTTGAATCTTTGATTATGTTAGTATGATATTAGAGCAGATGATCCCAGGGGTATTTGGTAGCTCCTTTTGTTTTCTTCTTGTGGTGAATTGTGGTTGAGTTTGTGGGTGATTCTTATGGTTGAGTGTGTGACTTGGTTTGTGGCTGAATTCGTGAGTGATTTTGTGCATTAATTGTTATTGGTTGGTTGTGCTTGTTGTTTGGTTGGGCGGATTATGGTTTTCTGGTAGAAGGCTTAACCAAATTGAAGAAAACCAGATTGCAGGGGTCTGGCTGCATGTTTTCAAACATGTACAATATCTTTGGGTTCTGTTTACAGGTTTGAAAACTTTTAGGACTGTCGTAAAATTTATGTTTTGTGGAATGATTGTTTTGAATTTTGTCTAGACGTAGGGGTCTGGTTGCAAGCTTTCAAACCTGTAGGATACTTTTGGGGTCTGTTTACAGGTTCAAAAAGTTTTGGGATTGCCATGTAATTTGATTTTTTGGAAGGACCTATTTTAAAATTTTTTTCTTTTCATTGGAAGTTTTTTCTTTGATGATATAATTGTGCTAGTTTTCATTATGGATATTGAAAACATGATTTTCTTCAATTTATTAGTGTGAAATTAGTTAGAAGTAAGAATTATGCGTATTGGAGTTATTTGATGAAAAATATTTTGAAAGGCAAGAAGATGTGGGGTTATATTGTTGGTACTTCGAGAAAAACCTAAAGATGATATTGAAAAATATGCAAAATTATTAGAAGTTTGGGATGTAAATAATTCGAAAATCATCATTTGGATAAACAACTCTATTAAACATTCTATAGGTATGTAATTGGCTAAGTATGAAATAGTCAAAGAGATTTAGGAACATTTGGAAAGATTGTATACATAATCCAACTTTACAAAACAATATCAGTTGGAATATGATATTCGAGCCCTCCAATAGAATAATATAAGCGTCAAGAGGTTTATTCAAGGATGACAGATCTTTTGGATCAGCTGGCTCCTACAGAATCAATAGAGTCACGAGCTTGTGAACCATATGTTGCTCGTAGAAAAGAACAACTGGTTCAATTTTTTATGGCTCTTTGTGATGAGTTTGAGGGACTTTGTGGGACAATTTTGTATCCAGAAAAATCCAAAACAATCCTTCCAAAAAATGCCTAAGACAGACACTTGGTAGAAGACATACCTGAAGAACTTGCAAACCTATAGGAGACTAGACAGGCATAACATGTGGTTGTGTGGCAAGAAACTTTTGAAACTGCTTAGTAAGTGCAACTATTGAGGAATTGGGAGATTGTGTAACGCCAAACCCAAACGAGTTTGATGATGGTACAACTACTGCAGTTTTAGGCTGAGGAAGCTTATAAGGTCATTGATTTCCCAATTGCCATGGTAGAGGATGGTGTTGTGGTGGTAGGTGTCCCATGTTTATTAACCTCAGGCTTTGAAACTTCCAATGACGTTTTTGCATGTAGAAATTACATTCATCATAACTAACCTTCAAATGGGGCATGCTTTGATAATTGGAGGTGGTCTAGAAGGTATTGCTAAAACAGAAAGAATAGGTGCGGGAAAAATTCCTTCCTATGTATGAGTTTTAAGACGTATCTCCTCTATTAACAACTCACTAACAACTGAATCAACAGAAGGAAGTAGGGTATGATGCAAAATCGTCTCACGAGTCCTTTAAACTCATCATGAAGAGCCATAAAAAATTGAACTAGTCATTGTTTTTCTCAACGAGCAATATGCAATTCAAAAGCTTGTAATTTTATTGATTCTGTAAAAGCCAACTAATCCTAAAGATCCGTCATCGCTTAATAAAACTCTTAAACACTCATATTGTTTGGTTGGAGGGCTGGAATATTAGATTCCAACTGATATTGTTTTGCAAAGTTGGATTCTGCATACAATCTTTCCAAATGTTCCTAAACCTCCTTGGTTATTTCATACTTTAGCCAATTGCATACTTATAGAATGCTCAACAGAGTTGTTTATCCAAGTGATGATTTTCGAATTATTTACATCCCAAACTTCTGACATTTCTGGATGTTTTTCAATCTAATCATCCTTAGACTTGCCTGAAGTACCAACAATATACCTCCACATCTTCTTGCATTCCAAAAAAATATTTCATCACATAACTCCAATACAAATAATTCTTACTTCCAACTAATTTCACACTAATAGATTGAAGAGAATCATTGTTTTTACTGGCCATAATGAAAATCAACACAATTATGTCACTAAAGAAAAAACTTCGAATTGAAAGAAAAATTCCACAACACTCATTTACGAAAATTAAATTATAAGACAGCCCTAAAAGTTTTTAAACCTATAAACAGACCCCAAAAATATCCTGTAGGTTTGAAAACTTGCACTCGGGCCCCTGTGTTTGGGTAAAAGTAAAAAATTTAGTCCTTCCAGAAAACATAAATTACACAACAGTCCTAAAAATTTTCAAACCTTTTAACAGACTCCAAAAATGTTGTGCAAGTTTGATCACTTGTAGCCAGGCCCCTAGGATCTTGGTTTCTTCAATTTGGTTAAGCCTCCAACCTACAATTCACCACAAGCTCAGCCTTATTCAGCATCAGAAAACCATAATTCGCCCAACCAAAAGCTCACAATTCGGCCAACCAACAACAATTAATGCACAAAATCACTAACGAATTCAGTCACAAACCGAGCTACACACTCAGCTACAAGAATCACCCACAAATTAAGCTACAAATCACCACAGGAAGAGAACAAAAACTGCTACCGAATCCCTCTAGGATCATATGCTCTAATACCATATTAACATACTCAAAGATTAAAAGAGGATTCAAAGAAGATTGAGAAAGAAAAGCTAGGGTTCATATTACAATTGACCATGAAAAAAGAGAATAATACAAGGTATAAAGTTACATATATATACAACTAGGGTAAAAATACTAAACTACCCGTTAAGAAAAAGAAAAAGTACACAGAACTTCACTCCTAAGAGATTGGAGTATGCCAAGCTCCAGTGATACAACATTTTGCAGAAACAATTTCAGGGTCAACAACTATCAAGAGTTTTGATCAAGAATCAAGGTTTCAAGACACATATATGAAGCTAATGGATGGATATTCTTGGCCCAGTTTTCATATTTCATGCTCTATGGAATGACTGTGCTTGGATCTGGATAAGTTGTCTCTTCTTACAGCTGCATTATCTTTGATTTTGTTAATCTCTATCCGAAAGAGAATTATTGATCCAGGTATGTGTGTCACTCCTCCAATCCTTGGTCATCCTTATCGCTGTTGACAGGACTTGAGAATAATTTTTCTTGTCTTTTTTCTTTGAAGCAACTGCGGGCTTAGCAGTGACATATGGACTCAATTTAAATCTCATACAAGCTGTGGAATATGGAATCTTTGCTATCTGGAGAACAAGATTACATCAGTGGAGGTAGTACTGTGCTATTCCTAGTTAGCTGCCTCTTTTGATAGAAGAAAGCCGGTTTGACCATTCTTGGCCATTACATAGAGAAGTTCACATTCGTGATTAGCAGGTAATTTTACTCGATTTAGATTTCCGTGACTCTTATTCTTTTTCACTTAAACTTTATAAATGATTATGGTTATGATATAGGTTCGCTACGCCTCACACATGCCACTTGTGTTGTGAGTTTCTCACATGCACTTTCCCAGGAGGGATGAAAACAACCATAGAAGGGACAACTAGTAGTGTTAAATCTACTCTCATTCAAACATTGTTCCGCATTGTGGAACCTGCAGCTGGTCAGATTGTGATAGATGGAATCATTATCTCTTCAATTGGACATCATCATTTGCGGTCAAGACTAAGCATTATTCCTCAGGATCCGACCATGTTTGAAGGGACTGTACTGAGCAACCTGTACCCGCTTGAAGAATACACAGATGACAATTTGGGAGGTGAGTCTATTTAAATTTGTTTGTAGCTATCAGTTTTTTGATAAGCTTCTTCCTAAATCCAACATTCAATGTTGTGACTTTGCTAATATCTGTCTAATTGGCTTTAGGCTTTGGGTAAGTGCCAGCTTAGAAATGAAGTTAGAAAGAAGGAAGGGAAGCTAGATTTCAGAGTTGTCTTTTCTTTTATTCTATCATACAAGTTGTAAAATTGTTCTAACTTGATAATGGCACAGAATTTAATTGCATAAGTTCATATGGTTTTTGCAGTTACTGAGAATGGAGAGAATTGAAGTATGGGACAGAGGCAGTTGTTGTGCCCTGGGCGTGTGCTACTTAAGAAAAGTAAATTCGTGGTGCTTGATTAAGCTAATGCATCTGTCGATACTGCTACTGATATTCTGATTCAGCTAACTTGTCGACAACACTTCACTGACTGCACAGTCGTAACCATTGCACAGAGGATAACTTCTGTTATTGATAGTGATATGGTTCTTCTTCTTAATTGCGGTTTCTGTAGTCCTGAGTCTGGATATTCTTTTATTGGTTGCGTTATTGTCACGGTAACAATAATTATTTTTCAATATCTTGGTGTAGGACTTGTTGAGGAATATGATTTTCCAGACAAAGTTGCTCGAGAACAAGTCATCGTCTTTTACACAACTTGTAGAATACAATCTCAGGGCAAATTCCAGTTTCTTTTGTTACTGTAATCTGCTTTGGAATTAAATCCTTTAATCGATAAAGCAATTCTATTTTTGAAGTGAAAGCACTATAGCATTGTATTTAACCTATTAATTTCTGTCAATCTGAACAAATTATTTAACAATATTAAACAACAAATAGCCCCGAAAACTTTAAATCATTTTAATTTATTTCCCTTGACATTACTTATTCGAAGTAAACAAGTTTAACAAGCTTAACCATTTTACACACTGCACATCTACACGAACATCGATCATAATCTCATGAGATCTATATGTTGTTGGGAGATTAAGATTAAGAACGATAAGGAATAGGAATCAGCATCAAGTCTTTTTTCCTGCCTAAAGTTATACCAAAGACCTCAGTCATGTCTAGATCTTCAGGATTCATCCCATTTGGGAACTTCCAATCAAAATGGTACAGAAGTTGTGCGAGTGGCAGCTCAATATTTGGTAGTGCAAACGTTAAGCCTGGACAAATTCTCCTTCCAGCTCCAAATGGAATGTATTCGAAATCTGCTCCCCTGAAATCAATTGAACTGTCAAGAAATCTCTCAGGATAAAATGTCTCAGCGTCGTTCCAGTTTCCAGGATCTCTTCCAATTGCCCATCCGTTAACAACCACTCTAGTCTTTTCAGGAATCGTGTACCCGTTGATTTCGCAACTCTCTCTGCATTCTCTTGGAAGTAAAAGAGGTACAGGAGCGTGCAGCCTCAGGGTTTCTTTGATCACTGATTTCAAGTACTTCAATTCCTGAATGCCATTTTCATCAACATATCCTTTTCCATCAAAGACTCGTCTTACTTCAGCTTGTGCCTCTTTCATTACCCTTGGGTTTTTCAACAATTCTGGCATTGCCCACTGTAAAGCCGTTGATGATGTCTCACTCCCAGCACTAAAAATATCCTGATTAAAAAATTAAAAGTTATCAGCTTGGACATAATTTATTCAGTGCTCATTTAAGGGCATCTATATTGTCTGTTTGTGCTCATAAAATATGTCGAATGAACATATATATGTATGTGAAAAGACCTTGTAGTAATTGTAAAGAATAATAATAATACATTTAAAGAGATTATTATACTGACATGGATGACTGCTTTGATGTTGTTGTCAGTTAGGGGAAATTCAAGGTCACCCTCCCGCTGGACTCTCAAAAGAACATCAACTATATCTTCCTTTACTTCTCTTTCGTCAATTTTTGTCCTCTCCTTCTCTTTATGATCATTCAGGATATTTTCAAGTATTCCATCACTCTTCTGATGCAGCTTCTCAAGCTTCAGATCCATTCCACTAATCACCTGAATTGCTTTAACAGAAGGGTAGAAATCAACAATGGAGAAACCTGCACCTGCCTCTATGATTTCCAGTACGCATGATAGGAAAGCTTCTTCATCTTTGCATCTTTCTCCGAAAGCCGCCCTGGCTGTTATGCCATATGTGAACTTGACAATTTCATCACTAAGATTGATTACTGATCCTTCATTAGCCTGTATGGATTTAATGAGATTTGAGACCTCCTCTTCCCTGACTGATCGCAGTGATTGGACTCGTCTTGCACTTAATAGCTCTATGGTTGCAATTTTTCGGAGCTGTCTCCAATAATTTCCATATGGTGCAAAAGCAATATCAGTATGGTCATAAGTCACCAACTTCAAGGAAACCAGAAAGGGCCGGTCTGCAAAGTTGAGGTCATGGGTTTTCAAAACTTCTCGGGCAATCTCTGCGGAAGAAACAACGACGGTTGAAACTTCACCAAGCTGGAGGTGCATCAAAGGTCCATATTTCGTGGCCAAGTCTCTCAGGCGACGATGGGGTTGTGAACCGACCAGCTGGTGCAAGTTTCCAATTAGTGGTAGTTTCCAGGGCCCTGGGGGCATCTTTGAGCTTGAACTCCTGGATTTGTGTCCCTTTATTATTTTGACTGCCATGAAAAAGAACAAGAGAAAGGAGATGATGAGGTTGAAAGAAGGAATATGAAACTCCATGGAGAAGAACCAATTTCAAAACTCTTTCCTCTGTTAAGATGATGAATCAAAAGGGCCAATAATCCTCACTTATATAGAAATGTTTACTCGTAATAGTAATTATCATAAAGTTAATAAAAATCCACCACTTATGATGTTAACTTACATGGTAAAATGCACATGACACACTGGTTAATCTCAAGTGTAGATCCAGAAATTTTTGTTAGGGTGGGTTAAAATAAAAATTAATTACACATTAATATTTTTATCTATTAATATTTTTGTTTGGATAGATCAAAATCCAAAAATTGTACATATTAATATTTTTTTTTTAAATTTGAGGGTGGGCTCAACCAGTACTGCATCCGCCGCTGGTTAATCTGATAAGCTTTAGGTGACCATCAATCTGTCTTCACACTCTAATGATGGACTCTTTGGTTGGCAAGTGTTTTTCACTTAAAATATATCGTTTGCGATGTTGTGTTCAACCAAATAGATATTGTCTGTCTAATATCAATTGTCAAATTTCAAATTCCATCAAAATAAGCCCTGCTTTGATACCAATGGTCAAATCCAAAAGTTCAACCTAATGAACTTCTCTCTAATATCAATTGTCAAATCTCAAATTTAATAAAGTAGGCATGGTTCGCTTTGGCCTATATGAAATTTCTTTTGAGTTTCACGTAAATAAATATCCTTCACTCAAAATGAGTTTGCTTAATTATATGTAGGGTCCAAATATTATTATTAGAACCTTAGACTTATTCACTAATAATATAGGAAGTGACACTTGATGGTGTTGAATTTTTTGCTATCGGATTTTATTACTGTGGCAAAGATTTGAATCTCCATATTTGCATTCAGATTAGTACATGGTAGACACATATCGTTTTACTAGTTGTAATTAGATGATTAATTATTGGAATGTGAATACTTTTTGGTAATTGATGAAGCAAAGGCAAGCAAGAAGAAAAAAGAATTAAGTTTTAGGCAAATTTCTATTTTAGGAATTTGTAATTGAGAATATTTTTTTCCTTTACTTTGAGTTGTATTAGGAAATGAGAATTGGTTTAAGATTTTATTTAGAGTTAAAATAGGAGAATGAATTAAATTAGGGGAGTTCTAATAGGATTAGGAATATGAATCTTTGTAAAAAAAGAATATCTTATTCTACTTATAAATAAAGGGGCTAAAACTAATTTAAAGTTATGAGAGAGGGAAGTAAAGAAAGCGAGAATGTGAGGCTACAAGAAGGGTATTAAACACTATAAGAATATGATGTCCGCCTATGTAAAGGTACTAGGTTGATGGTATGATGAACACTTGCATCGTACTCATAGAATTATAGTGGATCTCTCACATTTGTGGATGTAGGCGAGTTATGCTGAACAACGTAAAATATTGTGTCTTTGTATGGTTGATATTCTTCACATATTGTTGTTGTTCTTTATTTTATTCTTTTCGATTTTTAACATGGTATGAGAGCAGATTCTGATTTGTAACATTATGATAAACAATAAAATCTTAAATGAGTGGAATGCATCACATCATCTCTATAAATACATCTATCCATTAAACACTTGTTATCTAGATGTTAGACAGACATACAAATTGCATAGCTAGCATAGCTTTCCTATGCAAGTTTTCTCTCTACAGCTGCAAGCGGCTGGCTTCATTTTGTTTTTATCTGGGCGACTGGTTGGTTTTTGGGCACCGTTTACTATTAGTTACACGAGTCTTGTCAGTTCTTTGACAATTATTGATAAGTGTAACATATTTCCTTGCTGTAATGCATATTATCCAGTGGAGTTCGTCGAAAGCATAGAGAGAGATGTTCTTATTTTGTCTTTGACGCAATGAGTTAGCGTAAAAATAAGGTTAGTACGATTATATTTTTAGTGTTGATAAATAAGTCTTAATCACATAAACTTAATTCATAAAGTTTGAAAGAAAATCTGAAAATTATTCTATATCTTAAAAAAAGGAATAATATATTTATATAGGATGATGCCAATCAATCCTAACAAGATTCCTAATCAACAAGAAAATAAAATCTAAATTAATTAAAAAAGAAGATCCTAACTGTTGACTAATTATAAAATAAGAAAAATGTGCAGAAAACTGAAACGGCCCCGAAACACCGAAAAAGTGGATTTTGGGCCTGAAAACGACCTTATATCTTATGGACCTCGTAACTCCTCTCAAATAAAAAAAGTATGACTGTTTTAAGTTGGTATGCCCGTGTTTCGACATCTGACATACAGTCTCTTCTGAAATTCATCTACTAGACATTCTACGTCAACCTTACTATAGAAAACTTGTGACTTATCTCTTGCCAAAAGATTGAGGGATCGTCACGTCGTTGATTATCGCTGACTCATAACTCTAAAGTACGACTTTTTCGATAAAATAATGGAGCTTTTGGATTAACTTGTAATCATGCCAACGGAAAGATTAGCAATGTCACAAAATATCTTGGCATCATAGAAAGTTTGTCAAGCACGAGTTTTGGAGAAAATGATACCATGCATTCATTTGTACAGGGGGGAAAAATACTATACACTCACATGCTATCCTTCGATTCGAAGACTTTGACCTCGTACAAGTTGACTTGAACTCTGAGCTAACTTTCTCAAATATAACTACAAAATCCCCAAGTCCTTAACTTTCTCAAATCAACCGTTAAGGGATAATGGTACCTGTAGATTCCCTTGGGGGCCAGCCGCCTCATCGTAGCGTAGTGAGCAAGGCCATGCTGCAACCGTGATGTGACCTCCACAGTTATTGACAAATGCTTTTTTTCTTTCTTTTTTGGTCTTTTCATTTGGGTGGTTTGTGATTAAGCAATTGTTATTTGGTTGGTGGGTTTTGACCTAAATTTGTTTGGGTTGAAAGTTTTGTTATTTGCATACCTATTTCATTACTTCAGGTGAACAAAAGTATCAATTGCTATTTCTTGTTTTTCTCTTTGTTTTTTGCTTGTTCTTTGGCCAAACAAACAAATACTACATTGTTAACATACGCTAGTTAACTTGTGGCCTTCAGGCTTCCGTTTCCAGCTAACTTCTCATCGGAACTGGAATTTGACCTGCAACAATTTGTGCAAGTGATGATGATTTGTTCTCTAGCAACTTTGTTGGCGAATCATATTCCTCGATAAGTCCTACAACAAGACAATGACAGATCAATAACATTTGATGATGATGGATTCTATGCCAAAAACAGTAAATTACCTGACCATTAACCTTCATTTAGCAGCAGCACCATATCACTATCAAGAACAAAAGTGATCCAATGTGCAATTGTTATGACTGTGCTTTCAGAGAAGTGTTGCCGAAGAGTTTGCTGAATCAGATTATCAGTAGCAGTGTCGACGGATGCAGTAGCTTCATCAAGCACCAAGATCTTACTTCTCTTGAGTAGCACACGCCCAAGACAAACCAACCGCCTCTGACCCATACTCCAATTCTCTCCATTCTCAGTAACTGCAAAATCCAAATTACCATATACAATAAAATTCCGTGCCTTGATTTAGTTTTTTTTAACTGAAACTCGTAAAATAGAAAGAAAAAACATGCCACTGGAATCTAGCTTCCCTTCTTTCTTTCTAACTTCATCTCCAAGTTGACGCTATCCAAAGCCTAAAACTATTTTCGAAAATGTTGGAAAATTCTATGTTTGATTACCAAGTCTGAACTTCACTCTCCAAACAAAATAAAAGCAACCCACCTCCCAGATTTGCTCATCTGTGCGGGGTGTAGTCATAACTATAAAGATCATATGCGCATGACAAAAGAATATCAATCATGGTAGTATAAGACACTGTTTTAAAACTCGGCCCAACTCCGGTTTAATGGGTTGGATTGGGAACAGGGGTATTTACCAGGCCGGTCACACCAACATTTTTTGGTGTGTTTGTTTTAGTATTTAGAATAATATTTTTAAAATGGTTAGGGTGTATTTGGTTCATTATTTTGATACTTTTTAGAATAATATTTTGAAAAAAATTAAAATTTGGTGGGTATTACGATGTAGGATTTGAAAATTAATAAAAAGACCCCTTATGTTTGTTTATTTACTAAACACCCCTATAATAAAATATTAAAAATTAATAAAAACACCTCAACGCACCTATTGAATACTGACAGCTGGCCACCAACATCGGAGGGTGGCTGGAGTTGCCGTATTGGAGCACGATCGGCTAGATTTGGCTGGTCGTACGCCGATATGGCATTTTCCGGCCAGATCCACAGTGGATCTGGCTGGAAAAATGCCAGATCTGTAGCTAGATTTGGCCATTGATCGCATTTGGTCATCAATGATGGCCAAAGATATAGTTATCGTTGATGACTGGCTATAGCCAAAGATCTGGCCTTTTCCGGCCAAATCTACGGTGGATCTGGCTGGAAATGGCTAGATTAGCGTACCACCAACCAGATTCAATCGATAGTGCACCATTATACCAGATTCTGGAAAGTTTCTAGTTGTGGTGGCCGAGATCTAGCAAATGTGGGTTGCTGAGATGTTTTTGTCAATTTCTAAAAAAAATTTTAAGGGGTGTTTAGTTAAATTAACAAATTTAGGGGGTTTAAATAAATAGAATAATATAGAATAATATTTTGAGCATAAGAGAATAAATGTGTATTTTGGATAGAATAGATAATAGAATACTGAAAAATTGTGTACCAAACGGGCCCTAAGAGTTGGGTGGGAATAACGATATAAGATTTAAAAATTAACAAAACACCCCTTAAGTTTGTTAATTTACTAAACACCCCTGTAATAAAAACATTAAAAATTATAAAAATACCCCCAACCACCCACTAAATATCGGCAGCCGGCCACCACCGTCGGAGGGTGGCCGAAGTCGTCGATCGGAGCATTCTAGCCAAATCCACCGCTGATTTGGCTAGAAAAGGCTAGATCTACGGCTAGATCTAGCCATTGACGGTAAGATCTGGCTGCGTTTGGTCATCAACGACAGTCAAAGGTATGGTTGATGTTGATGAACAACGATAGTCATATTTTGGCTGTCGTTGACGACTAGCTACGACCAAGATCTGGCTGTC